AACTTGACAACTGCCTACTGGCGGTGGTTGAAAGGAGGCACTATGCCTGTTGTTGACCCAAGTGCAGTGAAGCAAATTAATTTCTCTACTATTTTATGTCCCTTCCTCCCCTCACTCCACTGAGCAGACTACAGCATAACTTTATCGACTGAACTGAAGCTACAGTATGCCATGTTTCAAGCTACCTTTATCAATTCAAAACATTATTATGGAGGCATGCTTAACTCCTGGACTGAGTCATGTGGTAGGGAACACACTTCAAAAATAAGCACACTAAGGGCACTGATAGACATGAAAAAAAACCCAAAACAAAACAGTGCTTTACCGGAAGAGGAAGTGCATTAGTTTGCCCTGGCTCTTCAGTGTCTGTAAAGACTGGAAGCTTCAGCAGGGCTTTTTGGTACTTTATCTAATAGCTGATTCAATCAGTTAGATAAAAGAGCCAAAAAACCCTGCTAACGTGCCCGATCTATACAGATACTGAAGAGCTGGATCAAACTAATGCAATGCTTCTTTTAGGCATGCGCTGTGCTCAGCACAGGGGCATGCTAAGCTGAAAGTAAAGTACTGATTTTTTCCCACGTATGTAAGCAGCCCCTGCTTGCTGCAAATTAAATAAGCAATTTACTTAGCTAATCTGACAAACTGCTACTGATGTACATGGAATTAATTTTAAAAATAATCAAAAAGTGTGTCAAATTTTCTTTTAAAGTAAGAGTAAATTAGCTCCTCTCAAACTGTTACTTCTTTCTCAGAACACAATCAGACCTTAGACTCTGATGTTCAAATGCTATTGGAGCTAGGATTATAGCTGAAGATGTAATGAATCCTACCTCAGGGGATGCACTCTGTGATGGCTCATTAGCCTCACTGTCACTGGAACTACTTTCACTTTCCGAGTCAGATCCAGAACTGCTTTCAGATCCACTATGGCTGCTTGAGTCATCCCTGGAGTTATCTGCTCCTTCACTATTATGCTGTGAAGGTTCAGAATTACTGAGGAAGATAAAAATGTAAAATAACAAATACTATCAAAGACATATACGTTTCCCTTAAATCCTTCTTACAATAGGAAAAAAAATCAAATTACAGACTCTAATTAATCTAAAATAATTCTACATAACTGAGTACAGTAAGTAGTCTAGGAATGTTAACTGTTATATAACTAGACCTTTTTTTCTTTCTCTAGCTGATAACTATCTACAAATTGTAGAGAAGAGACCAAAAAAAAAAAATCACCACTGCGTCCTGGGTTAGTGCAGGTAAAAAGTCTATGGTGTCAGTCAAATCAAACCAAATATCACTATTTCACTTGCTGCACCAAAATCAACTGTGAATGCCTACCTTCCAGGTGTACTCCTTGGCACTGTCTTATCACAATCCTGCAATTAGAAGAGTAAAGCAAAGTGAGGACAAAGCTTCGATAAACTGTTTCTTCATAGCATGTGTGCTACAGGGAGACAAAAAACAGCACTTTAGTACTCTTTTGTATCAAATTGCAAAGACTATTTAAGGCTTTAGAATATAAAAATATTGAGCCTCTACAGTAACTCTGATGTGAACTCCTCACAATACTATCTTCAGACACAGGGAATTAGCACATAGTAAATGGTTTTCTCCACCTTCATACAGCAAACAAGAACTATTCTTTCCCCAGAGTCTTATGCATTCCTGCTACAGCTCTGAGTGTCCTAATGGCCCTATTTCATGTACCATTTTCTGACTGGGGATGGGATATATTGTAAAGTTCACCAATGCTATTTTTCTCAGTTGTCCAATGCAGTGGATATTAAGCAACTAAAAGCATTACTTCATATTCCCTTGGAATAAGCAAAATATGCCTAATTAGAATTTTCTAGATAAAAAATAAATGAATTGGAATTAGAAGCAAAAGGATAAGATTAGAAACAAAAAGAAAAGATTTACATGGAATACTGTGGTAGTGCACATAGCTATCAGAAAAGGGCTATATTAAAAGTTGATGCGTGCCCACTTCAGGACATGTACAGTTAATATTGACTAAGAGGGAACCAATCTCCCTAGAATAAAGATACTATTACAGTAGTAGCTACAGAAAAAGAAAATCTGGTATGAAACGTATGTACATATTAGGACAAACCACCCTGATCCTAAACTACTCATGTGCAGAGATGTTATTATACTCCATGTTCTTTTCCCAATGTGGTTAAAGCAAAAAAAAAAAAAAAAAAAAAAAAAAAAAAAAAAA